ATAAGACTTAATATCCTTGTAGTTGAGGGTGCCGGTTTTGCCTTGAAAGTAGATTTGACTTGCTTTCCTTTCTGGCACGCATCACAAATGCTTTCCTTCCTGAATACAGCTTTGGGAAGGCCTTCTACTAACCCTTCTTTGGATAGCTTGTTGAGAGTTTTGAAGTTGAGATGACTCAACCTCTTATGCCAAAGCCATAGAAGGTTAGTGTCACCTTTGCTAATTAGACATGCTTCCTTGACATCGTTCCATATCACTTCATAGATGTTTCTGATTCTCTTCCCAGTGAGAATGACTTCATTTGTGGAGATGTTCTTGAGAGATGCCATGTCCTTGCAAAATTCCAAGGAGTAACCTTTATCACAAAACTGACTTATGCTAAGAAGGTTATAATTGAGTCCTTCAACATAAGATACAGCTTGGATGGTTAGTCCCTTGTACACAAGAATTCCTAGTCCTTTAGTAAGACCAAAATCGTTGCTTCCTCCATCATAGGGAATTAGATTGCTCAAAAGGCTCGCATCACCCGTCATGTGTCTTGAGCAGCCACTGTCTAAGTACCAGACACCAGGGTACTTAGCGGCTTCCTGCATTAGGAGGAGGAAGATTTTGGTACCCATTTCAGTTTGGGTCCGGAATGGTTAATGGTAGGTGTCCCTACATCAAGTTTGAAGTTGCAGGGAATTTTCCTTGCAGCTCTAAACTTGTTGGGATTGTAATCATAGTTGTAGGCATAAAACTTCCTACGTGCAGGAGGTGCAATTTCCTGTTTCCTCCTAGCAAACCTAGGTTGATAAGACCTATAGTTTTGTCTAGGTTGTGCATAGTGTGACCTGTGTTGGTTATAGGCATACTTAGGTGGCACAAATAGTTTCTGAGGTGGAGGAATACTATATCTTGGCATAGTTCTCCACTCAGAATTTCTCGGAAAACTCCTATCTACCCCATAATGAGTATAGCCTCGTGTATATTGGGGGTTAGAAGGTTTTCTTCTGAAATTGTTTCCTTTTTAAGGTCTGTCCAGCTTCCTATAGTTCTTAGGAGGGACTACCTTTTTGGGAACTTCTGTTGGTTTTTCCTTTTTCTTCCCTTTCTGCTTATTAGGTTTGGCAGTAGGGTTAGGAGGGATGAAAGTTGTCTTCCCTTTCCTTTTGGAACTAGAGGGGTCAAACCCAAGTCATTTGCGACCCTTATGTTTGGTCGTTTCAAGCAGCTTGTTCACTGATTCTTTGGACTTGAGTATCCCTAGCTCTTTGTTAAGGGATTTCACCTTTTCAGAGAGAGATTCATTTTCAGTCTTGAGTTGAGTGATCTCATTCAGTTGACTTTTCCGACTTTCAGTCAACTTGAGATTCTCTTCACTCAATAGTTTGTTCTCTTCTGTTAAGGATGAGTGTTTGAGATTTATCTCCTCAAAGTCTTTCATCATCTTTTTGAACTGGTCAAAAAGATTTTCAGAAGTTGGTATGCTATAAGAAGATGAGAAGGAGGTTGTTGGAATGCATGAGTTCAATCCTTTCTCTATTGTTTAGTGTTGACTCACAGGTTTTGATAATTGACAAACAGAATTTATTCAAGTNAGGGGTCAAACCCAAGTCATTTGCGACCCTTATGTTTGGTCGTTTCAAGCAGCTTGTTCACTGATTCTTTGGACTTGAGTATCCCTAGCTCTTTGTTAAGGGATTTCACCTTTTCAGAGAGAGATTCATTTTCAGTCTTGAGTTGAGTGATCTCATTCAGTTGACTTTTCCGACTTTCAGTCAACTTGAGATTCTCTTCACTCAATAGTTTGTTCTCTTCTGTTAAGGATGAGTGTTTGAGATTTATCTCCTCAAAGTCTTTCATCATCTTTTTGAACTGGTCAAAAAGATTTTCAGAAGTTGGTATGCTATAAGAAGATGAGAAGGAGGTTGTTGGAATGCATGAGTTCAATCCTTTCTCTATTGTTTAGTGTTGACTCACAGGTTTTGATAATTGACAAACAGAATTTATTCAAGTCAAGATTAAAGTGCTACAATGACAATCACGAAGACTTGAAGTTCAAGAAGGTGCACAGTATTTTGTTGAAGTCTGAGACGCGTTCGGAGCGCCTAACAGAGGACTCGGAGGAATAGAAGATTTCCGAAGACTTTTTATTTATTTGAGTCTTAGGAATTAATGTAAGGATGACAAAAATATCTTCTCTCCAAAATTACTTTTATGAGAGTTAAAATAAAAATTATATTTACTTTTGGAGTCAGTTGAAAAATCATTTTAACTGTTCAAAATAATCGATCAATCCCTTTGCATGAATCGATTATTTACGCGTTGAAGGAACTCTGCACAGACTGCATTAATCGATTATTGACACTGCATTAATCGATTATTATGCTGCATTTTTCATCACAGCTTCTTTTCTTGGACCAACGGATATATTCCTTCAACCCCTTTATAAACCTCACTCCTTGGTCATTTTTACTATGAACAAGCACTCCTAAAATCCCCCAATCTTGAGGTTATAATCCTCCATTCATTTTTTCCTCAAATTGATATATTTTGAGATAAAACTAAGTGTTTTCAAGAGAGTGTTCTTGTCATCCATAGAGCTTAATCTTTTCTCATTACTACTCTTGTGAGAGTTATTGCTCAGAGGTTGAAGAAGATTGTAATTCTTGTTGTTCAAGACTTATGTGACTTAAGTCTTGGTTGTGAAGTCTTGTAGAGGGTACATCTACGAGCGGTTGTGTTGAGGCTTGTGAGATTCAAGTTCTCGGTTTGTAAACGGTTTGTCAAGCACCCGTTGAAGCTTGATAAGTAGTGGTAGCTTCGAGAGAGTCTCTCGGGGAACTGGACTAGCCATGAGGTGGTGAACCAGTATACATCGGTGTGTTCTTTGCCTTCTCTCTTTTATTTCCGCTGCACTTACGTTTATTTTATTTATCCTGCGAAAATCGGTAATCATTCTCAACAACTCTATTCACCCCCCCTTCTAGAGTTGCACGCCTTGTCTAACAGAGGTTTGTGAGGTTACCTCTTGATCAGCATCATCTTTGGCCATTAGGCAGAGATTGTCATCTTCTGACATAGTCCACCTATCCTCATGGTTGGATTTCTCAACTCTGTGCTCCATGCAGACGAGGGCTTCTTCATCCGAGCTTGAGCTGGATGACTCGTCACTCTCAGCAGCAACCATTGCTTTCTTTTTCTTCTCGATCCTTTCTCTTTCTCCGTACTTCTCCACCTTTGGGTACGGGCATGCTGACTTCCAGTGGCCAGGCTTCCTGCAGTTATAGCATAATTAAGATTCAGGAGGGGAGTCACTTACCTGTGGCTTTCCCTTGGATGGCCTTCTGATTGAATCAGCTTTCTTGAAGAACTTCTTGAACTTCCGGAATTGTTTGACCATCATGGCAAATTCCTCATCGTAGTTCTCCATTTTTGAGCTTGACGGCTGGCTGGAGGAAGGTGTGTCACAGTTTCTTGTGCATGTCCCTTCACTTGATGGGATTCTTGAAGTTGTCATCAATGTCGTGGGGAAGGGAGTGACTTGTTCTTCCTTCTTCTTCTTCAGCTCGTGCTCATAGGTTCTGAGTTCATCAAGGAGACCTTGAACAGTTGAACAGTGTAGTTCTCCAGGTTTCTTCCTTCTTCCATGGTTGTGGCTTTGGTGTACCACTCAGTTGGGAGTGATCTTAGCAACCTTACATTCTTTTCTTTGGGAGAAAGAATGTGGTTAAGTGAAGCAAGATCATTCAATATCTTGTGGAATCTTTCATCCAACATATCAAATGATTCTCCGGGAAGCATTTTGAAGCTTTTGAACTTCTCAAGCAGGACTTTTATCTTCTGCTTTCTCAGGTCCTCTGATCCCTCACATAGCTTCCCAAGACCTTGCCAAATTTCCATGGCAGTCTTGAGATGCTTAATCTTGGAGAAGGTGATGGGATCAAGTGTCTTGAAGATGGCTGCTTTGGCGACATTGTCCAGATTGTGCTTTTTGCAATCTCTATCATCCCATTTTTCCTTGGGCTTTGGAATATACTGGACTACATCTGGAGCAGCTGGATTCCTCTCAGGGTTCTCCATTTGGATTTTCAATAGTCCATCCTCAAGCACCATCCACATGCAATCATGTAGAGCGTAGAGATGTGCTTTCATCATGATCTTCCAATCATCATAATCTAGAAGAGAAAACTTGGGCAAACCGTGATCCATATTTTTCACCATTATGATCGCTTCTCGTTAATCTAAAAGTAGATAGTGAGAAGTATGCTCCGATACCAATTGGTGGTGCCTAAGTGGTGAGATACAAAGTCTAGAGGGGGGGTGAATAGACTTTGTTACAAACTTAAAACTTTTTCGTTTCTTTTGAAAACGTGAAAATGAGTGTTAATCTAGAGTTCTTGTGAACTTTAGATTGTGTGCGGAAGTTGGTGGGTAGAGTGAGCAGTAATCAATATGGATGGGTTAGTTCTCACAGTTAATATAATTGCAAGTAAGAATAAAGATAAAAGAGAGAGACACGCAAACTTTAACGAGGTTCGAAGGTGGAGTAATCCTTCTACGTCCTCAAAATCCACTATGTAGTTGGTTGTTGAATAATGAACCAACAATTACACTTGTGTGAATTTCTGCATGGTATATCTTCGCAAGGCCAATGTTGCTACTGCACTCGTGCTGGCTTTGTTGTTCCTTCGAAGATCTTGCTTCTTCAACAACTGCAAGGTCCGAACAATAGGACTTGCAAGACCAACTTGTAAAAAAGTTGGCCTACCCCCTTTCAATCAATAAGTTTGATCAAAAGTTGTATCCTTCAACGTGGTGTGGTACTTGAGGCAAGGAAACCTTCAAGTATTTACACTAAAGCTCTTTGGAAGGAGGAGAAGTTTGCTTCTGGATAAGGAGTTTAGAAATCTCTCTTTATCAAGTTTTTTGGGCTAACTGTGAATGAGGTAGTCTCTTTGTGGTTGTTCTTCTTATCGTTGATGAGTTCTCTCTTCTTCTCCAGTCTTCTAAGGATGCTATTTATAGCTGGATTGGATAATCTATCCGTTGAATCAAAATAGACTATCCGTTGCATTTGTTGGCTTCAATTTTGAATGAAGATTGTGATTTGAAGATTCCTCATTGGAATGGGTGTTTAGACATACCCAATTGTTAAAGGAGGGATTCCTTTTTCCATATAATCCGTCTTCTAGCTGTTGTTCAAGAATTCTGGACTGTAGCACTTTACTCTGTTTGTCTTCTAGTGCTTGTTTAGGAATTCTGGACAGGTTCTTCAATTTTTGGAGGTCCAGACTTTGTCTTCGAGTCATTTGTTCTTGAATCAGCATAATTATCTTCAATCTAGCCGTTGAAAATCAAGAGATTGATTTTTCCTTACCAACGGGTAGAATTTCTTCATTCAAAACTTAGATAATTTTCTAAGTCTTTTCTAACTTGTCCGCTTTTTGAAAATTCCGGTCTTCCTTGAAGCATCCGGTTTTTAGCTGACAAATCCGGAAGAGTCACACTCAGTCTTCCAGCTGAGAAAGAAATCCGCGCTAGTCTTACGACTTAGCCTTCAGCGGGTTGTAACGAGACATCCGGTTCTCATGTAGTCTTCCGGATAGGAGGATTTTCGTCTGCTTTGAGAGATCCTTACTTGTCTCTGACATTTCCGATCAAGATATCCAATTTCCAAATTTCTGAATTTGATTAAGTCTTCAGGCATCAAACCGCTTAAAGAAATATCACAACTTTATTGGAAATCTCAAGAACTTGGTTTTAACAATATTTCTAAAAGGAAAAAAAAATTACATTGAATATCTGGGGAGACCTAAAGTCCCTATTACATTCTAAATACATCATCATCAAAATCTATAATATTTTTCCCAACAATCTCCAAAGTTCATAGATCATTTTGGAGTCATTAAATAATAATTTTAACATCAAATTCAAGTTTTGAGATTCTTAGTCCTTCAAACATATCAAACACAAAACTCAACCAAACGACCGTTTATAAACGTAGAAACGATCTATACGAACATTCTAGTCACTACATATATCTACGGGCTTACCTCTAAGCTTAATGGAGGTTTTGAAAATTTTCTGGTGAAACTTCCGGCGATGATAACTCCTGGCTCCGGCGACTTCAAGCTTTCTGGGCAACACCAATGAACTCTCCACTCAACAAGGAACACACTAAAAGTAATTTTTGGCAAGTTTGGTGAGAAAATGGGAAGAAGAGATGTCTTTATATAGGAGGAGAAGGAGGATGCTGCTAAGGTGAGCTGAGTCAGTGATGCGTAGAATTTCCTTAGTGCGCAAGACAACGATTCCCTAATATTTACACGCCGTTCCCTGATTAGGACAAATTTTGGTTCCAGTCGGGGTACACTTTGTGGTCCAACTTTCTCCGAATTAAATTCCATTTGCACCGTTACGATCGGGCAGTTAAACTCTATACAACGATATAATTTTTATATTTATTTGTAACACTTTTTCTGACATCATATTTTAGGGTGTTTGACTTTGACAAGACAAAAATTGATTTAATTGACTTTTACCATAAAAGGTTCTCACTTCTAATTCATATCATTTGTTCTCATGATTTATTTCAATAAATCATTTTAAAGTTCACATCATAATTAATTTCTTCATTTATTCTTGATTTGGGTCTATATTCAGGTTCCCAATCAAGACCACACAAATAATCAACATATGGGATTTATATCTATGAGATTTATCCTGACTGTGATATTGGATATCAAAATACATTTTATTTCGGCCCAAAGCCCAACAACAATTTATTTTAATCAAAACAATTTTTGCTTAATCAAATAATTATTCATTAATAATTCTAGGGTATGTTTTGGGGCGTTACTTTTCTTCCCCTCTTAATGGAATTTCGTCCTCGAAATTCTTCTAAGGTCCACCATCATGACCGCGTCATGTTCACATGGTTACATTGTTATCTTATAGATACGTATTCTCAAACCGTTTATGTCACTAAACTAGTTCAACCTTCGAAAGATTAACAGTTTTTGATTAGGCAAGGTCTTCACAAATCCTTTGGTATTGATGTCAAAATTTCTTTCATAGTGTGTAGTATTGTATACTTGACATGTTTGCACTTAACTTTGTTTTAGTCACGAGTTCCATTTTTACGTCATTGGTCAACAAAATTCTTTTCTTAATTGAAAAGTTCTTCAATAGCCTTTATAGAAGGGTCACGATAGGCATAGTTGGAATTTTGAAGATAATTTTAATCCATAAATCGTAATGTAATCTCTCAAGTTACTCAAGGGATCGTTGTCTTAGGGCAATAGCCATATTGATTTTTCGTCTCTAATTTGAACGTATTTCAGGACAGCGAATCCAATTGTTCATGAGTCTCAATATGTCAGATCGTCAGCAGACTGTAGTATTGGCGAGTATGTCATTGTCAATAAGTAAATTCAATCCATCTTTGCTGTTCAAAATTCGACTGAGGATAACTACTCTTTTTCTCAAAGGTCAGGTTTCAGAACCTATATATATCATGATTGTGGCAAGAGTATCTCACATTCTCACATTATGCAAGGAACTTCCCGAACTTTTCCTTACACTATAAAATTTGTTGGTCTACTTGGTAGTCATGCTCTTGGTAGAAATCCAAAGTTCATGGCTACGACAGTAGATTTAGGAAGGGAATTGGTAAGGAAAAAAATAAGCCTTACCTATGGAGGAGGCAACGTTGGCCTTCAAGGAGCTGTTGCTTCAACGGTCTATACCAATGGTGGTATAGTTAGAGGCTTCATTCCAGGGTACATAGCGACACGATAGGTGTACGGACCTACGTATGGTGCAAAATACACAGTTTGCAGCAACTACTATAAGTACTTCGAGATGAATCATGTTGTGGAAGACTTCATCGTACTTCCTAGAGGGATTGACACTATGGAAGGTTTGTTCACTTTGATCTCATGGGCATCCGAAGGGTTGGACAGTAAACCCATTGGTCTCTTGAATATTGACGACTATTTTAATAACCTAATCAAATTTATAGATAATTCGGTGAGGCAGAACTTCATGGCTTCCAGTCAAAGGAAACTTTTCATCTCTTCTTTCTTTATTGATGAGCTCTTAGACAAACTAGCGTTTGCTAAAGCTTTTCCGGGTCCTGGGGCTAGTTATGACGAGTTCATAAATCCTGGGGCATTGGACTTAGAGTTGCATATGTAATATTATTTTATGTAATTTCAGTTGAATTTGTGTTGGAATAATATTGTCTATGAACATTATGAGTTAACTATAAATATTATTCTAAGTTGCATGGCCAGTGCAAGTCAGAAAAATATCTATTTTCAACATCAGAATGCATCATGTAAATATCAAACATTTTCTCAATATGGGTCAAATGAAAGATTTCATTATACAATGGTTTCAACACATGTAGATTCAGGCAGTTACGAATATTCTTGGGATACAAATCAAGAGATAATTTATTGTTTACAGAAAGTTTCTACATTCTTCAACATATCCTCGAGCCCTTGTAGAATTTTAAGATCTTCACATAGTATCATCCTTGTGTTGAATTCTGTTGTGTTTTAGGACGTTGACTTGTTGCTGAACGAACATATTGGTTTTGGACGGAAGTAACTGAATATGATTCAGGGTTAGAGGGACATTCTCTTCGAAAATGTCCAGGTTTACCACAACCTAGACATTATCCCTATGCAAGCCAACAATCTCCTGGATGGTGCCTTTTACAAACGTTACATTTTGGATGTTTCCATACCCTCATTTTGTTCATGGATGACGGCACTTGAATTGTCATTGATTCCCCCTTTTTTGAGTGTAGGGCACTATCAATTTCTTGCAGGGGTCTCTTCCCACTTATATTTGGTCGTTCATTTAAATTGACAACATCAGTCTTCAGACTTTCATAGTAATCACTTAGATCTTTGTCGGCTTTAGAGATTAAGTCGTATGCCTCAATGAAATCCACAGTTCGAATTGTAGATACGTGTGGCCTAAGATCAGGTCGAAGTCTTTTGCGAAACTCCTCAATGCGGTCAGCCGCGGTGCTCACGAGTGCGGGTGCAAATTGAGCGAGGTGGACAAATTTTTGTGGGTATTCAAGGAGTGTCTTATCTCCTTGCTTCAATTGAATAAATTCAGCACGCTTCTCTTCACGGAATTGGGCTGGAATATATTTCTTCTTGAACGCCCAATCGAAGAATTCCTAAGTCCACGGTTTGGGTGTGTTTGGATTTTCGTCAGTGTGTTTCCACCATTCATAGGCTTCCTTGCGGAGAAATTGAGATGCAAATTTTGGATAATCAGCAAGAGGTATGTTCAGATTTTGTAGTACACGAGCGGTCTGCTCGATCCATTCAAGAGTGATCTAAGGTTCGGCAATTCGATCTCCTAGGAACTCCTCAGCACCATTATCTTTCAAGGTTTTGAAAGTGATTGAACGAAG